AAACAGTAAGAAAATAGACAGATGTACACAAAACGTGACCGAGCCGTGGGAGGTGATGTAGAGCAATTTACCCTTTTTCAGAGAATGACTATCCCAACTCGACATACGAAGTTCAACCACGCCATCGCTCACCAGACTCAAACGATGCTTTGCAGAATACCGGTGGTGGGATACAAAAATTAATTTAGCATCCGCATCTCCTAATACTAACGGCGACAATTTATACCTTTCTCATAAGGGAACGTCGAATGTCGTGGCAGCGCACAGGTGCCGCAGGTTGACGAAAACTACCCTAGCTTTCGCCATTTGTAATTTGATTTTCGATATTTGTTGGAGGGAGGGGGGAAGCAAAAACCACCGACCCTGCATACCAGAACGAGTGTGAGAAATGTTCGAAATGGTCTCACTTTTACCATTCTATTTGGGGGTAGACCTTCATTATGTTACGCATGTCACCAAATAGGATGTCACGTTGAGCGATGTTTGCCGAGATAAGTAGTGGGTGGAAAAAAGACAAAGGGGGTCAACTTAAGGGTATGTAATCCCTAACCAGGGGACTGGGTTACATAGGCCCCGTTAGGCTCCCTGTTTGGAGACCTCGGGATGATCGTAACCGATGGTTAGAGACTCTGAGTGATGTGGCTGAGTGTCGCAAACAATGGGTTTCGTGCATCTTCTCAATTTCTTTGCAACCTTAGACCACTGAAATTTTCTATTTTCTATTCGACCCCACTTTCAACTTTCCTGTATTTCTCCTATTCTTCATCCAAACGGACAGCCAAAAAACAGCAAACAAAACCGGCACACGATAATGCATGGTTAATGATTGTACAAACTGAACTAAAACTGACGAATAGAATCCTACTCGAATACGAAGAATGCTCTTTCTCTCGAAGCACTTCTGAGTAAACCCAGAGGTCAATCATTTTTTATCAGCCAACGCTTTGTATTGAATGAATTTTTGGCTTATTAAAATCACGGTGCTTATTCCATTGAGCACATGCTAACTATCATATAGTTCCATAATATCAGTTAGTCTTCAAGATCATTCCCTTGGTGTTATTGTGACAGAAACATTGCGGCATGGTCTTTAAGGTCGTTTGTGGTTAGTATTACTATTGGTTTCAAAGATGGGTGTTGGCTATTGGTGAGTTAATAGCTGCTTACAAATGTATGAGTCGATTGTTTGGTACTCATCTACTTCATTGACCAGTGTTGAAACGCACATCAACGAGACAGTTACAAAGTACCTAATAAGGTAAATAAATTTCCACTGCGCACGATGTTTACCGAGGCAGGTAGTGGGTGGAAGAAAGTCAAGGGAGGTCGAACTAAAATCTGGCATGAGAGCATAAAAACCCTGACCAGGAGACTGGGTTATATAGATCGCGTTCAGCTCCCTAGGTGGAGGCCTCGGGATCATTGTAATCAATAGTTAGAGACACTGTAATATGGCTGAGTGTCGTACACAGCATCTCGGTTTCTCTGTAACCTTGGTATACTTCAATTCTCCATTTTCTCTTCGACTTTCCAATCTTTCTTCAACCCCTTCATCTAAATGAGCGGCGAAAGACAGCAACCATGCACGAAAGTGTATGGTTAATGGCTGGACAAACTGAAACCGAAACATAGTGAGGTTGCACGTAAACAGTGAGAAAAACTCCCACGCTAAGAATTTTCGAAATTCGGGATAAGCTTTTAGCTACTCCCGAATTTGTTATAAATCCTGAATTAATAATTGTGTATAAACTCAGTTAATAGTAGTCTTTTAGAAATTCGAATTCATATCCGATATAGTGATCAACTCATTTTGTTGTTTCAGACCACTTCCGGCGGTACGGAGAGCATAATGCTGGCTTGTCTGGCCTATCGAGAATGGGCGTTCGAGCGGGGAATCCGGTCTCCCGTCATGTATGTGAGCAATCTTTTTTGGCTCCATTTATCTGCGAAAATAATTCTTTTGATTTGATCTCGAATTCCACCCGATAGTTTGCCTCTTTTCTTCTGGACGGTATGAGCCCTTTAGTTCTCTCATGATTCAGCTGAATGTTTTGGAATAAATATGGTTGATGATTTTGAAGTCCTCTGTTTCAACACCTATGTCACTCAGGTCACTTCAAGTTTGGACTTAAAGTGCCTTTTTATGACAAAAAGATACCTTTTTAACTGCTACATTTACTCTTAATTATGGTTTGTGCTTGTGTGTGTATGACAAAAAACAAGAAAATCTGGATTCTGTTTCAAACATCTAATAGTTCTTTTTATCATCCGTGTTCTTTTTTTATTTTAGGTTGATTCCTGAGTCAGCCCATCCTGCTTTTGATAAGGTGAGAAATATAAAGATTTCTTCGCCTGACATTCATTTAGGCAGGCCACTATTTCCAAATTCTGATTCATCGCATACCAGTTGATCCGATCACATACAAGGTGGATGTCAACGCCATGCGTAGGGCCATCACTCAAGACACCTGTATGGTAAGTAAACTGTTGGTAACCAGGTAGAATTTCGCTTTCTTCATAGTTGTGTCAACCCTTTTCTGTCTGGTCCATACATTTTCGTCTCTATGGCAAAATTTGTCATGATATTGTCCCTAAGAATTTGCTTATGCACAAAATGTGTGTAGGATTATGCAGACCCAGTTGACTGTTAGAGTATGTTTCGGTGAGTTCCCTATTTCGGAGTAGCATTTCTGAGAAAAGTAGAGTACCAGAATCGTCTTGCGCACATAATTACCTCCGACAGTGTGTTATGTATATACACAATGAAGTCAGCCATAATGAACTAGTTGCATGCGATTTACCAGATATCATACTTTTCATGGGCCCTAGCCGCTCTATGAACTATAAAAATGCCGCGTCCTCAGTATACTTTCTTTCGCAGTTTTTCACTAATAACCCAATTAACGACTACAAAGCGGATATGCCCTTAGATGTAGTCAAGTCAAGTCAAGAAAAGCTTTGTGCACCCAAGGGGTGAAATTTCAGCCGTTTACAGTGGATAGGTAAAAAAATTGCAAACAAAAAATACAGTATACGAAATTCTACACTTTAATAAATGAGAGAAAATTAGGGTAAGAGTTTTTCCCCGAGGTAGGTGAGAGTATGCTGACAATTTACTAGTAAACGAGCTAGCTATGGAATTACACTGTTTCGGTATGTGGAAGTCCGCACAGGAAGGAGTTGATATTTGGAGCGTGTCCGGGGATTTGACTGGGCTTTCGCGATATGTTGGTTCAGGCAATGCCCTTGATCACATGTTATCCTGTCAATGAATGTATCATAAGCGTCAAGATGCTTGAAAATAAAGAAATCAACTAAAACAACTCTATCAACTCCACTGTAGTGGGACAAAAGTTTAAGGGATCTTGAAAATAAAAAGAAGTCTTTCTTTCAGTCCAGGGATAAAAATCGGGGAGCAGTAAAGCCAGCGTGGAAGAATGCAGGCAATCACAAATTTAAGAATAAGGTAATGTGGTACGGCCAGTTTTCTGAGCCTGTAATCATAGAAAGACAGTTTTCGAACTTTTTCTGAAAACGTTGATGACATGAGCAGATCAGGACAGGTTATGGGTAAGGGTCACACTAAGGTATTTAACAGATACAGATTTGAGAATGCTTTGATTGTTAATTCTAATATCAGGGAGATTGTCAACTAATGAAAAATAGCGGGGACCGGTTTTATGACCAAATGGAACTTCAATACAATTACTGTTGTTAAGTACAAGGGATCGTCGGGTCACAGACCAATTGTGAAGTTGATTAGGAATGTCCTGAAGAGGTCGGATTTTGTCTGAAGTAGGGGATAGGCAACCAATCACAATATCATCAGCTTACTTACAAGTAATAAAATTGGTGGGAATGGGGAGATCTTGTATATACATATAAAACAAGAAAGGGAACAAAATGGCACCCTAAAAAACATTGGCTTTAATGTTAATAGAAGACCGTACACTATTGAGCGAAGTAAACTGGGTCTTACGGGAGGAGTAATCGATTAGTACATTCAAGACTTCAGGAATTAGGCCACACTCAGAAAGAGTCTCAATAAGCACACTTTGGTCGAGAGAACCAAAAGCGTTTGTATAGTCAAGAAAAGTTAAACGGATGGTTCTAATGCCATTGTCTAAGACGGAAGCAACAGAATGAACAATATGAGCAAAGGCGTCCAGTGTGGATAAATAGGGTTTATAAGCAAATTGTAAAGGGTCATGGGAGTTACACTGGGGTATCATGCGGTGCAGCAAAATAGTTTCAAAATCCTTGAGCAACACAGATGTGCAGGCAATAGGACAGTATTTTGACGATCCCTTCTTTGGGATTGGTCTGATCCGGACTGACCTCCAACAATCGGGGATCGCTCCAGATGACAAACAAGTACTGAACAATTCGGCAATGGGTGTGGCAAGTTGGTCGGCGCAGGCTTTCAATAAATGAGGTGCTAATCCATCGGGACTATGCTCTTTATTGGCCTTGAGTCTCCTCAAATCTTGGAGGACCTCGCACGGAGAAACAGGGTTAATTGCATCATGGTCGGCGCAGCTGGGAGGAAAATCATTCGGTAAATGCCATTATTTTTCACACTAAATCATGAATGTTTCTGACAAAGAAATCAACCCATGATTTTTTCGTGGGTGCGATACTGCCTGTTAAACTCTAAAGGAAGCCAGTAATGGATTCATACAAGATCAAGCACACTTCTACCAGAACGAGACATCTATTACCGTAACTGTCATTCTCGTTCATCTTGCTTTCAATCGGAGAGAACCTTAGATAAGAAAATCATCCCAATGAAAAAATCAAGTGTTGAGGTAACACGATGGACTATTTACCTTTCTCCAGTGGCCTAACTTGTTACATATAGATTTTCCCACACAGTGAAACCGCTACGACATGACTGCTTTGTTATGCTGTGATCAGTATTTCACCTTTGAATATCTAAATTCTAACAGGTTGACGGGAGTAGTAGTGTTATAATTCTAAAAGTCCAGTGCCGAGACGAGGAGAGTAATGTATTTAAAGAACAGTGAGAGTACGGGGTTAAATATGATTACACAGAACGTAACGTCTTATTTGTAACATTTATTTTGTATTTTTGTGATTCTTGTCGTTGGTGACCTTCAACTCGACAGTCTGTTTTTCCATTCTTAAGTTACAATACAATAATCAATCACAACGGGACTGCTCTTTGACGTGGTATGATGGCTTGTTCATCTATCTAACCCAACGAGCTTTACAGGATGACTTTCATCAAACCAGGAGATCTTATCATGCCTGGAAGATCAATGGGTATAGGTCAGACGAAGTCCAGTATCCTAGTCCTCCAAGTGGACTAGAATAGGCGTTTCAGTCGGTAAAAAAATGGCGGAGGATTAATTAATCCAAGTAAATGGGCCTCCATTCCGCTTCACCCGCTGCCTTGCGGTTAGGTTCTTGTCAAAACTAAAGGCTTTGGACGAGAACCCTAATCGTTCTCCTGCCTAATGGCTAAACACCGTAGCAGTACCCGTCTATCAAACCACAATGCATACACAAACTGAAAATAATTCCATACTGCATCAATCGTGGTGCAGGATAATCAGGACCTCGCTGCCCATTACATCGAGCGGGGTGGGTAGTGATAAGTGGATCATTGCTCAGATATCCCAACCTTTGTTTAATTAATTGTCTTCCGTACACAGCCCATTACCCTTTGCCCCTTCTTCCGATCTGTAATCGTCCCTCAAGCAACTTGGTCGTCATTCGTCTAAGGTCGTTGCCTAATAACACTGTAATGTACCACGAAATGGATTGCAGATTATAAAGCCTCGTCATTCACTGATTCTGGGGACTTTCAACTTGAGGACTTCAATACAGGTTCAATTCAGCTCTTACAGCCATTAACCATGCACTTTCGTGTGCCAGTTTTGGTCGCTGTCTTCAGGTTGCTCATTTGGATAAAACAACAGTATAGAGATTACAATGTTGAGAGCGAATTCAAGCGAAAGATAGCGAACTTATATAGGCTGAAGTTAAAAGAATATGAGTGGTTGCATGAGCGCCACTGTTCTCGACACCCAGCCGTATCACTCAGTGTCATAAACTATCGGGTACGACCATCCCGAGGTCCCCAGCCAGGGAGCCTAACGGGACTTATGTGACCCAGACTCCCACCAAAACGGATTTAGGTGGCATCTGCAACGTCAGCTCATAAAGAGCCTCNCTCAAGAAGGACCGTGAGAACTGGTGGGCAATAATAGCTAGTGAAATGGAAGTAGCAGTTGCATCAGGGAATAATCAAAGACTGTTCCGACTGAAACTGTCTGCGACAAGGTGGGACAAGCTATTTGCAATAGGGATCAACTGCTTGATCGCTGGGTGGAATACTTCATCGAACAGTTCAGCTGGCCTAGTGATAACCAGGTTACTTCATTTGCAACTGAAGCTCCGTGGGCAGAGTCATCCGATCATCCAGCAGAAGCAAAAGTCTAGTCTTGTATTCAAGCCCTGAAGCGAGGAAAGGCAGCAGGACCGAATGATCTCCCTCTCATTCTTTTCAAGATGGGTTGTGATAATCTCGTAAGCTCTATTACTACCCTACTGCGCAGTATTTGGACGCAAGCATGCATTCCTTCATCTTGGGGCGAATCACCGATCGTTCCCATTTCCAAGAAAGGTTCTCACAACGATTGTGAAAATCCCCGCGGGATAAGTTTGATCCCCATCGTCATCAAAGTGCTAGTCTCGGTCATGCTTCGACATCTGACTCCTTTAAGAGAAATCAACATCGGTGAACAGCAACCCAGATTCTAGCCTGGCCGTGGATGTATTGGTCNTGCGTCACGTCCTTGAGCTGTGTCACACCCGCCGTCGACCAACGATCACAGTGTTTCTTGACCTGAAACGAGCGTTCGACTCAGTTGTCCGCGAAGCTCTAATGGACGCCGTTCTTCGAAAAGGAATTCCTCAGAAGTACGTTAACTTTCTGAGGTCACTGTGCTCACATACCTCTGGTCGAGTGAGGGTTTACAACGGACTAAGTAGGCCGTTTGTCACCAGCAGCGGCGTTCGTCAAGGGTGCCCTATTTCACCATTCCTGTTCAATTTCGTCGTAGACGAAATACTGGAGAACGCGCTAAGTGGTCACCAAAACGTAGGCATTGATTGGGCAGTTAGAGAAAAACTGTGTAATTTGGAGTACCTCAATGACATCGTTTGTCTGTTCGAATGCTCACAGGACGCACAAAACGCTCTTGCTAGACTAACAAGTGCGGTTGCCACATNNNNAATTAATAGAGCAAGTGGATAAGTTTTGTTATTTGGTAGCTACATCTCACCTGGCGGACACGTCACGGATGAATTGTCAGCTCGCATACAGAAGGCTCGGTTGGCATTTGCTAACTTGAGACATCTGTGGCACCGTCGCGACATCCGGCTGTCTGTTAAGGGTCGATCGTATGCTGCGGCAGTTCGGCCAGTTCTACTATACGGCGCAGAAACTTGGCCATTTAGAAAACAGGATAAAGATAGCCTGTCGGTGTTTGAACACCGCTGTCTACGCAGCATTGCACGAATCGGGATGGTCGTACCCGATAGTTTATGACACTGAGTGATATGGCAATGGTTGTACAAACTGAAACCGAAACTGAAAA